AATAATAATAATAATAATAATAATAATAATAATAATAATAATAATAATAATAATAATAATAATAATAATAATAATAATAATAATAATAATAATAATAATAATAATAATAATAATAATAATAATAATAATAATAATAATAATGATAATAATAATAAATGATAATAATAATTAAGGGAAACAAAAAGAAACAAAAGTAAAGAAACCATTGTTTATGCCGGCCAAATGCAAATAATTTAAATGTGCAATATCAGCACCATTTTCTGGTATTTCCTGAATATGACAATTAATTTCATGTTCTGTTCGACCTTTGTATGTCCACTCACCGCTTGTAATTTCATCGATGTCCGGAATTTGCCATTCCGGATCTTCCCCACCACAATGATACCTAACCAAAGAAAAGATCAGTTCTTTTATTTTTCGTTATATCTACAAAAGCAAATTATCATTTGGTTACTTTATTAACTGGATTATATTAATGCAACCTACCAGGCGTAAATATGCATGTTTTTTCTATTACTGGCCAAGTTGATACTTTAGCTTGTTCCGGTATTGTATTACTTGTTTCATACGGAATGCGCTCACATATGCCTGTTTCCGCGTTGAATATCCATCCATGAAATGGGCACTAAATTAGCAATTTTAATTAAGGAGGAATTGCTATTCCCACAAAATGATATAAAATTTATATTTGAGAAAAGAAAAATGAAAAATGAAAAGTTATTAAAGGCTAATTATCTGAATAATATGGTATAAAATTGTTCATTAGCTAAATTAGGACGGATTTTCCCAATATCTGAAATATTTTTATAATAATTTCAGCAAAAAAAACTCGAAACCTTCAAAACTCTTTTTCAAATTTTTGCATAATTACAAATTTTGAATGGTTTTCTTTCCTTCTCAATATTTTTAATTATTACCAATTTTTGTTTTTGCACCAAAACGAAAAAGTTAACATTTTTGATGAAAAGCTAACTTCAATAATAAAGCTCATTTTATTTTATCAGTCGGCTTGACTTTTGATTTCTACTTCCATTTTTTAATAGATTTTACATAACTTAGGAAATTCAACACTCTTTTTTAACTTAACCTTTAATCTTGGCAGTATTTAAATTAATCAACTGATATGAATTTTAACAAAATATTAATTCGACATTTAAACGATTCTTTTTTTTGTGTTTCAAAAATTTTTAATGTGAAGCGTTTTGCAATGATTATAAACTAAGATATTATCATAGTGCTAATTACTTTTTAATGTTAATTATTTTCATACTTTTTTTACTGTGTCTTTTCTTTCTATTTCCTTAATATTGGTTGCTTATTTTAGTTAAAGGAATAATTTTCAACTAAATATCAATTAATATGGAATTCCATTTCAACAAATCCCACCTGAATACAATTATCGTTGACAACACGTCCGCCAACACTGAAATTTGCACCCAAATGTGGACAGTATGAATTGATTAAGTATACTTTTCCGGATTCCGATCGGAGTAATGTTAATTGTTGTCCTGTAAAAAAAAAAAAGTGTTTTGATGGTACTATGCACAAAAAATATGAATAAGAAATAAGAAATTATTATATCAACTGATTAAGGATCAGCGAAAAAGCATATTTCAATGTTCTTATGTTTCAGTAATGCATACGAACTTATCGTTTCAATAATCCATATAAGCTTATTGTTTCAGCAATTATTACAAGCTAATTATCTCAGCTCGTTGTTTTAATAACCCATATGAGTTTGTCGTCCTGATAATTTACAAGACCTTATTGTTTCAGATAATACGTACAATCCCAGAGATATTATTATACCGTAAGTAAAAAAAGAAAAAAAACAGTTAGGTGATATTTTAATTTTAAGCCAAATATATTTCTATTCAATATGCACCTAAGGATGTCAAACTTTTCCATTTTCAAAAATAAATTTGAATAACAAACTAATTTTCTTGGGAAAAAAGAAATAAATGACATATTAATTGTTAAAATAATAAACTCATATGCGTTATTAAAACAATAAGCTCAAAAAAAAAAAAAAAAAAACAAATG